AATTGGCTGCATAAACACCATTTCATTTCATGAATTCAATTATACACGAAAGTTTACCATGAATTCGGCATCATTTCATGAAATCATGAAGTGCAAGCCCGGCAACACCACGTTTCACAAACCGCTGTTTACTAGGGTTATGATGTTTTTAGATTAATAATGGGCTGTTTTTGCTTACGCGTAAAAGCACATTTAGCGCATTTAGCTCTAAATGCTACTCTACAAAATTCGTCACCTAAATGCAACTAAATGCAACTTCATTTTTGCATTTAAAATCTAAATGCTAAAAGCAACCCTGTGATCTTCCAAAATTTCCACGATTCGAACATGGTTTAATGAGAAGAAGTGGCAACATTGCTTTTTCGAGTATACAGCCGCTAGCTGCNTGAGATTTCTTTTATTTTACCTTACATATTTGGATAAAGAAAAGTTAAGCAAATTCAACATCGATGTGATGCTGATAGAAATCTGGATTAATTTGTGATCAACTCTGTTTGTTTTGTTTCCTAATTAAGTGTGGAAATTATAATTGACAGCACCGACAAATGAATATATACACAAACAAATGTTTGGTTATGGTTAAAATCATTCAAGTTTTTGTATTGAATTTTTAGTTTAAAATTTATTTTTTCCTTTCCAGTATGGTTTTTGCACATTTTCTTCTGCGTGAGAATTGATCGTAATATATACGGATCTAAATAAGAGACTGGAACACGGCTGTTTGTCAAAAGCATACGATTTCGAACTCGCGTAAATGTACATTTGCTAAATGCTATAGCATGAACGCTCTTCGAAAACATATGTTCGAAAGTGCTAAATGTTGCATTTTAAATGCAGCAAAAACCCTGCATTACCGACGTCTTCGACTCCATGCATATAAGGCCTGTATGCAGCTCTCAAGAAAAGCAAAAACTCCATATAAAATGACGTACAAGAAATGGCTAAGAAATTTTCTTGAGTCAAATTTCCTTAAGGCAGTACGCAGTTCTTAAGAAATTTACTACGCTTTCTACTACGGTTTTCTAAAGTTTTTTGTGAAAAAAGAGCACAAGGCAACCCAGGTTTGCAACAGAAATATATGCCCGTTCCATTATTTCTTGAGGAAAGAGTGAGCCAACAGGCTGTGAAGTATCAAAATTGTCAAAATTCCTTGGACACACACACGAAATAATGGCAATTTTTTCTTGACCGTTTTCTTGAGAGCTGCATACAGGGCTATAACAGGGAGTCGGTAACGTCGATAACGATGTTTACCCGCAGATAAGTGTTAACCAGACATTGAGTAACCGGCCCTTAATGTTCATTTATCCATACAAAATTCGTCACCTAAATTTAAGTAAATGCAACTCCATTTTTATATGCTGTTTTTGCTTACGCGCAAAAGCACATTTAGCGCATTTAGCCCTAAATGCTACTCTAAATGTACATTTATCCATACAAAATTCGTCACCTAAATGCAACTAAATGCAACT